CTGAGGTGAGGGCGGGCGGAGCCTGCGGCGGGGCGGGGCCGGCGGGGGGGTGGGAGCCCCGCGCACGGAGCGGGCGGCCCCGGTGACACAGAGGAAGGGGAAAGGGATGCGTCTGTGTGCAATAGGAGATTAAGCCCCCAAATAGAGAACAATGGAAGCGTTCATATTAAAAATGTTGAAAACGCCGAGGCTATTACAACTGTTAAAAAATAAGGGGGAGGACCCCCCGCTGACGGCCGCAGTGGCCGCGGTGAGGGCTGCCCGCAGGGACGCCCCGTCCCGCGCACAGTCCCCGCGTTACACCCCGTGTGTCACACAGCGCGCCGCGCGGAGGGCCCGGCCCGGCGCAGTGCGGGGGGCGGCGCGGCGCTCACGTGTCCGCCTGCGATGTAGGGCAGCAGCCGGGCTGCGCTAGCGGAGCTCGATGTTCCCGCAGCGCGGGGATTTCTGAGAACTGGGGCTGTGTCCTCGCATGAACCCGGCTCACTGCCTCCCCCGCCCGCTCCGCAGCCTTAAAGCGGCGATGCCGCAGCCGCGCCGCACGTACGCCTGCAGCCCGCAGTGCGGAGCGGGGCCGGGCGGAGCGGAGCGGGGCGGGAGGGAGGGGGGACGGGGCAGGAAAGAGACCGGGGGCAGCCGGCCCGTGTCGCGCGCAGCCTGCTGCACGCGCGTCTTCCGCTGTAATCTTCTTCATTATTATCACTGTTACTATTACTACCTTTATTATGATTACCGTTGCTCAGTGAAGCACCCGGTGGGGGGGTGGGCAGCCGTCAATGCTCTCAGCACAAGAGCGTCCCCGCGAACTGCCTCCACAGAGGGCTGCAGGACAAAGGCACTGGCTGTCCATTGCCATCCTGACTTGGGGGCTGCTGGGCACAAAGGAGCTCCCTCAGCCCCGGTGACCACACAGCAGCACAAGCCTGGGAAAGCTATGGAGGAAGGGGGTGTGGATGGCTTTGTAGAGGCAGAGTCAACTGCTGAATTACACAGAATGGCATCCCCCAGCCCAGCCGTGTCTGCCCATTCTCCCAGCGACCGTGCTATGCTTCCCCAAAGGGCAGAGGTGCTCCCTTCCCAAGGTGCGGCTCTGAACAGGCAGTGATTGTTGCTGGGGGAAGGCATCACGCTCCTTGAGTAATGTCATGGAGCACGGGGACACCCTGTGCATGTGGAGCACCATGTACCACCTTCAGATTTGTATCTGAAGATATCAGTCACACGGCACGGCTGGCACTGATTGCAGCCTCACCACCGCCCAGCCCTCAGTGCCATGTCAAACTCACAATCCAGCTGGTACCAAACACAGGGGTTCTGGAGAGCTAAAATGAAAGAGAAAGCAGTAACTGAGATCACACTTGGGCTTTCTGGCTCTCAAAGCACCATAGATGTTACCACACCTACAAGATGCTTTCCTACGCTTTATCTGAGTGGGAAGAAAGCTTAAGGGATGGAACTCCCATATACTACACAGGGAGCAACTGACCCACCAAGGTGTGGGGGAACACTCGCTGCCCACATGCCTCGCACAGCCACACTCTCAGAAGAGCTCTGCGGTGATGGCAGCAGTGGAGCTGCTCACAGGCTGTGGGGGCCATGAGCAGCTGCAGCTGTACCAGGGACCATTGAGGTGGCACCCAGCTGTCACTCTGCACGCTGGAACAACGTTTTGGTTTGGTAGGGAAGGCGCTTTTGGAAGCACTGGGTATTCTTTGAAGGCTCAGTGCTTCCTCAGCATCAGTCAGACATGGATTACCTTCCAGCCGTTAGACTGGGTGGCAGAACTGGGCTGAAAAGACAGAAGCCAGCAAACAAAAAAAGGTCTCACAGACTCTGTGCATTATACAGTAACGGAATCGAAGGAGTTGATGTCATTTCCCAGAGCTCATAAGGACCCGAATTTAACAAAGACGTGAGTGTGTCTCAAATGCCCCAAGATAATATGATTCCTAAACAGAAAGCCTGGCAATCTACAGCCTCACTGCAGAATGCTACAGGAGGAACATTCTGCAGTGAGGAGGAATAGCAGCAGGCTGTGATGCACAACAGCACTGCTTCTGTCACGAGCGGCGGGGCAGGGCAGGGAAGACCCCGCCGTGCCCTGACGGCGAGGCACGGGGTCACCGCGGGTCCGCTCCCGGCGCACCCAGCATCACGCCCAGCATGCCCGGCACCGGCTCCCACCTCGGCCCACGGGGGAAACGCGGGAGGGCTGTTGCCTCGCACAACCCTCCCCCGAGGACCAGCACCTCCGGCCGCGCGGCGATGTCGCTGTCCCCTGAGGGTCCGCCACCAGGACATCGCCGGGGCGGCCGTAGCCGGGGGCTGCCCCGGTCCGGGCGCGGGGCGGGGCGGGGCCCGGCGGCTGTGCGGGCTCTGCGCACCCCTCGGAGCGCGGCGCGGATTGGCGGCGGGCAGGGCAGTGACATCAGCCGGCGCACTTTCCATTGGCCGGCCGGTTGCTGGGACGGCAGGGCTCCCGGCGAGACACTTAACCCGCGAGGCGCTGGGCGGCCCCCTCTGAGCCGCCCCGCCGCCCCGACCCGCGCCCCCCGCCCGCCCCGCCGGCCCGGACCGCGGTCTCCCGGGGTATTCGACGCGCCCGCTGCCCCGCGGGGCCGCCGCCGCCGCCGTCCCTCTGTCCCGCGCTTGGCATCGCCCTTTTAAGCGGGCGCGGCGGGGCGCCCGGAGTAGCACGCGGCCTGCGCAGGGAGCGCGGCGATTGGCGGGACGCGCGGCGGGCGGACACACCCCCCGCCAAAAGGCGCCCGCGAGCGGCGGGGGGAGAAGGTAAACAGAGCCGTGCGGCCCT